GCGGGGCGCTGAGGGGCAGGGCTGGGGCAGAGCGTGGGTTTGCGGGGCGAGGAAGCTCTGCGGGTGATGCTGGACAGGCTGGGTGGGTGCGGACACAGCAGCGGCAGAGGGCCGCGTGGCACGGATCTCGTGGTCGCGGTGGAAGCAGAACTGAGCTGCGGTCGCCTTGGCTCTGTGAGGGGCTGACCCGGGCCAGCCTTCTCTCTCCTTCTCTCCCACTTTGCCCGCATTTCTGCGCTCTGTTGGCTCCGTCCCCAGACTCCGGCCTTAGTGGCTCCACACCACTGTCACTCAGAAGTCCACGAGCCACAGTCCGTTGTCCTGGGAGGTCGAACCCAAGCCCGTTGTAGGCGGCTGCTGGGGGCCCTCATTAGCTCCCCGGTGCAGAAACAGCCTTGGAAACACAGGGGCTGTCTCCGGTGTGTCGCCATTAGAATTCTGCGCACTGCTCCGAGGAAGCGGGGAATGTGTTTTCCTCCCAGCTTGTTTGGCTCCAGACCTCTGAATATAAATGGGGCAGCTTCAAAGAGTAGCAGAACGCAGGGCCCTGGCTCGGGGGCAGTGAGCAGTTTCATCTGCGTTTTCTGGGCCCTTCTGTGTCCCTGCTTCACCTCAAGACTGGGGCGTGGGGTTGCGGGAAGGAGGTGAGTCTATTTAGGGTGGGAGCTCCCTGTAGGCTCCCCGGGCAGTGGGCAGAGCGGGCTCCATCGCTGGCCCAGCTGCAGGGATGAGAACGTTGCTGGTCCGGGAGGTCAGAGCCTTGGTTTACCATGCGATGAGCTCAGGGGTTACAAAAGGTCAGAGGTGACACCTGGAACGGAGCATGTGCTCACCCGAGGAGGCGCTCTGTGTTCCTGGCGTGGAGCGCAAGGGCTGGGAAGGTGACGTGTGTGCAAAAACAGACGTGCTACTTTTTCTATGTCTGGGTTTTCACTAATTCTTTCTCCCTGTACCTGGGCCCCTGCCTGGTTTCCTATGCTTTCAGGAAGGTTGGTTAAGTGAGCAGTTATTCATAGACAGGTAAAAATTGGAAGATCAGGATACTCACCTTAAAAATATCAACACTGGCAAGATGTGGTGGTGCACACCTGTAATCCCAGCATTCAGGAGGCTGAGGCAGGAGGATTGCCAGGAGTTCGAGGCCAGCCTGAACTACATAGCGAGCGCCTATCTCAGAAAACCAAACCAAACAAAACAAACAAATCCTCACTGACAGATTTCCTGTACACCAATTTGCTGTTTTTAAAGCCTTGAGTTCCATCCCAGAACTGTCAAAATGAAAGAAAACATACAAAGTTCTGGTCTGAAGTGAGCCTAGGTGCTCCTCATCTGCTCTCCGGCGATGGGATTTTGTGAGTGAAGCCCTGAGTGAGCCCTGGGGCTGCCTATGTGACCAGATCAGGACCCTGAGGCGGCGCCCCTCAGTCCCCCTGACAGCTCTGCCGTCTGCATGGAGCACGGGCGCAGCGGGTCCTCTGTGTCCGTCTTTCTGGACACCCTCAGGTGGGGGCAAGAAGGCCTCCTGTTAATGCACAGCGGCCCTGGGTGGAGACCGGGGCAGGAAGACGGCAGGTGGGTCGGGGAGGACAGACGACAGGTAAATGAGAGGGGGAGTCCTGCGGGGGACTGGTGGTGGACGGCTGTCTGGCGGCTGCCTCTCCTTGTCCTCGTCTGCGCCCTCGTCCGGCCCGGCCTGCAGGACAGTGAGCTGGCGGCGCTGCCTGGTCGCTCAGGCTCCTTTCTTCCTGTCAACCACAGGTCACCCGGGAGCGGCGAGCAAGGGGTGTCCAGCTTCCCACGGACCCTCCCCCTGCAGCTCGAAACAAGGTCTAAAAATAGACGCATGGGAGAGAAGCCAAGGCGTGCTCGCCCGCCCGGGGTGCAGGAAGTGGAGGAACAGGAAGCAGCGCTGAGGCGGGCGCTCCTGAGCTCCCGGGGCGCCCAGCGGGGAGGGCGGTGGCACCGAGGGGCACTGGGGACGTCGGGCTCTTAAGCATGGATGGCACGGGGTCTCCCGCCCTGGGCTTCAGCCGCGGAGGGAGACAGATGGGACGACACTGGGGGAGGAAGAACCGTAGGGAGCCTGGGCAGAGAATTGGCTCCGGCCAGAGAGACCTCTGTCCAGGGCCCACGATCGGCCCCAGCTGCCTGTGGACGGCGCCCTAAATAGCGGCGTCTCACTGCTCTGCTAGGGCTGAGCTTGAACTTGCAGTCCTCCTGCCTCAGCCTCTCAGAGTGCTACGATTACAGCGAGGGCTGCTTGGCCCCAGCAAGGGGCGCAGGAAACCCCTGACCTCACCGTGGTGTTCTTCTGTCCCGGCCTCTGAGGCAGAGACGGCCACCGCGGTGCAGAGCCGGGGGAGTCCTCGCTGTCCTTCCCAGCCCGAAGGTGGCAGCAGAGTCAAGGTGCCCCGACGCCCCGACAGAGCAGAGGTCCTGACCCTTCCTGTCCTCACTGTGCTGCCCAGGCTCAGTCCTGGGCTCGTGGGTGCAGCGTGAGGACCTGGGAGCTCGAGACCCACAGGACAGGCTCCGTGTCCCCGGCCACCCTCTTGCCACGTCACCTACCACGGGGCTGTGCTCAGAGCTGGGCACGGGTCCGTGGGGAGCGCTGGCCCAGTGTGCACCAGGAGGCCTGGGTTCCATCCCAGCGGGAAAGAACACTCTGCTCTTTTTTGGTGTTTGAGACAGGGTAGTCCAGGCTGGCCTTAGATTTGCAGCAGTCCTCCTGCCTCAGCCTCCGGAGTGCTGGGGTCACAGGCCTGTGGCACCACGCCCAGTTAAACTGGGTTCATTTCTAGGAATGAGCCGGCTCCTGCAGAAGGGTTTGTGGTCTGTGCCTTGCTGGTCTATGCCGGGGGTGAGGTTTTCAGGGTGCCTGTGTGCCATGCTGCGGATTCACAGCGGGGACAGTGCACAGGGCTCTGGACAGGTGGCCCGGCCCCTGCGGGCCCTGCAGCTACTGCCAGGCACCGGCGCCCCTGCCGCCTGCAGTCTTGTCCCAGACTTGGGGGCAGCTCCGCAGGCCCGAGTCCAGCTTATAGGCCTTCATCACTGTGATGTTGGACTGCGCGACTTTTCATCTCTAAGCACCTACGGGGCCCCGGGCTCTTCGCAGAAATGGCCGGGGGAAGCCCGAGCCCTGGTGCTGGGTCCTGCTGCAGAGGAAGGGTTTGGTCCTGTCCTGGCACTGGCCAGGGACCCTGGGAGGGAGCCACGCAGCCCCACCCCCACAGCGGGGCTCAGGGTCCATAAACAAAGCGACTTTCATGGGAGAGCTGCGACTGCCCTTGCTGGGACAGCCGAGGACACAGTGAGTGGGCGTGGACTCTGCCTCTGGCTCTGTGAGGAGAGCCCTGGTGCCACGGGGCGGGCTTGGGGCTTCTGCATCTTGGCTTGGGTCCCCAGAGACTGGCGGTGCTGGCACTCAGAGCCAGGGACAGACGGCACCGGGGTCGCCCCCGAGCCGAGTGGTGACCTGGAGGAGCAGTGTGGCTGTGGGTGGGGGGAGTGCCGAGCGTACACGGGGTCCCCGAGCCCGTTCAGCCCACGCTGCCTCCCACCCTCTGCTGTGTCAGGACTCCACATCAGGCCTGATCTTCCCCCTCACTCCTGCGCCCGTGCAGATTCATTCATTCATTCATCGCCTGCATGGCATGGAGCCCCCGAGGGTCCAGCTCAGTGCTGGCATCAAAGCAGCGAAGGCCTCAGCTGATGGGGTGCTCGTGGCACCTGTGATGCCCATCCGGCCCAGCAGATCCCCGTCCCCGCTTTTCTAGGGTGCAGACCAGCCCTCAAGTGAGCACTCAAACCAGTGTCCCATCTGTGAGCCCCAAATGGATAGGTCTCTGTTTAAGACTTGGTCAAAAGTTTCCGTACTTTTAAGTATTTATGTGTGGATTTCTTTGCATTTTTCCTGCTTAAGGATTTTTTTTTTTTTTTTTTTAATAACTTGTGGTTTGATTTCTTCTTTTCTTGTGTGGTCCTGGGGATGGAACCCAGGACCTTCACACGAGCTAAGCCCCAGCCCTTTTCGTTTTTTTATTTGGAGACAGGGTCTCACTGAGTTGCCCAGGCTGGGCTTGAACTTGCTGTCTTCCTGGCTCAGCCTCCTGGAATGCTGGGGTGACAGGCGCGTGTCACCGTGTCCAGCTGTGTTCGATTCCTTTAGGCTAATTAGGGAAGTTCTGATACATTCTGAGTAAATACCTTTCCAGTGCTGCTTCTGCTTTATTCACTGTCTCCCCGCTTGCTGGACTCCAGACGACACAGGTAGCGTTTCCAGGGAAGTTGTGTCCCTCCATGTAGCCCTCCCTCCCCCGGGGGTTCAGGCTGGGAGCCTCCCCACCGACCCCAGCGCCTCCCCTTGGTGTCCCGTCCTGGGGCACAGTCCCTGCCTGCTCGCCGACTTCCCCTCTGAGCTCTAGGCTTTCCGTTTCATTATTCTTACGGCGCTTGCTCCCTGATGGAATGTGAATTACTCTTTCCTCCTTCGGCTTTCTCGGATACTCAGTTTTTCTCCTGCTTCTCTCACCTCCAAGGTCTGCATCTGTGGGGGGTGTTTTCTCCAGTTTGGGTTTGCACTTGCTCATTGAGTTTCCAGTCTCCATTTCTGTTTCATTAAACTTTTGACTTTGTGTCAGAAAGGTGCAGAGTGTGGGGCGGAGCCCGCAGGCTGTCACTGTCACAGTCTCGGGCCTGTGGACCCACGTGCGCCCCTCCGTGGGCTGCAGGGAGGCTGCAGCTGCCAGCCCGGGTGCCGAGGGCACAGCCGCACAGGGGAGCAGGGACTGAGTGAGCTGCCCTCCCTGGGCATGGACAAGTGACAGGGCTCCTGCGCCGGCAGCACGAAGCATCCTCCTTCAGCCCGCGGTGGTCGAGTGGCCCGGGGCAGCCGGAGGCGGGAGAAAGCAGCTCTGCCCCTTGTGGAGCCTTCGAGGGAGGGAGATCGGGACTCCGTGCCGCGGGTGACCACAGTCCTCACCTTCTGTCCCCTGCAGATCCACGCGGCTGCTCTGAGGTCCCCAGCCACGCCGCGGGGATGTCAGAGAGTCCCCTGGGGCCCAAGCCGACGATGCTGCAGGCAGACGGGGCTGCGGCGACGCCCACCTTCGCCCAGGCCTTCGCCTCTTCCTGTGCCGTCTCCAGCAACGGCCCCGGCCAGCGCCGAGAGAGGTAGGAGGGGCCGGGGTGCAGCCCGTGCCCAGGACCCCGGGGTGCGGCGCTCAGTGGGGAACCCTGGAGGCTGCGGGTCAGAGGGCGCCCGGCCCAGACCTGCCGTGGGTGCAGGGGCGCAGGCAGGTGTGGGGACCGCGCGTGGGACCCTGTGCCCAGCAAGGAGCTGAGGACAGACAAGAGCAGCCATTTCTGCCTAGACTGTGGCCGCGGGGTGATGCGGAGGTGGGTGCCACCTGGGCCTGGGTAGAAGTCAGCTCCTCTGCGCTGCTCGTCTGCACCTGGAGCTCCCCACCCACCTTCACCCCACTTCCCGTCAGCGGTCCTCGCTGAGGACTTGGTCGCCTGCGGGCCCCCGTCCGGGGCTTGTGGATCAGTCGCAGCGTGGCAGTGGCTTCCGTGCCGGTGGGGTGTGTTCCCAGCCCTCTGCGCGTGCCCGGGAGCAGGGGTGGATCAAAGCTGGGGACGCCACGGCTTTCCTGCACGTGCCCCTGGGAGGAAGCCCTTCACCGCTCCTCTCCTGCACGTCTGAGCAGCCCGCATGGCTATGCTTGGGCTCTGGGGACGTGAAATCGGTTCAGGGACTTTTGGCCAGTCAGCCTGGTGTCCCAGCGAGCTACTAAGTGACAAGCAGCAGGCGGTGTGGAGAGTGCAGAGGCCTGGCACACACGTGCCTCACACCCGGTGGGGCTGGGCAGCATTTCACGTGCTGCTCAGAAAGGAGCAAAATTTAACCCGTACCAACTGTTGATTTCTGGAACTTTCCGTTTAATCGGTATTCAGTAAGGTTGACCTCGGGGAACAGAAGCTTACATCGTGTTCCCCCGTCGAGTGACGGTTGCTGATTTCAGGGTGTACCCATGTACCTTTCATTGTCGTTTTTTGTTTTTGTTTTTGAGACGGGATCTTGCTTTGTAGTTTAGCCCAGGCTGGCCTTGAACTCGTGGTGGTCCTCCCGCCTCAGCCTCCCAAGTGGTGGGATTACACGTGTGCGCCCTTGCGCACGGCTGTTTATCGATTCATTTCTTCCTTCATTGTCTCTGAACAGCCTGCCATCCACAGACCACCAGTGGCTGGAGAGCAGCCCCAAGTCCACCCTGGCGCTGCGGGGCGGCAGCCAGTCCTCTGCAAGTCCCCGTGGTGCCAGCGAGCTCTTGGGCCCTGGCAAAGACTCCCCGGGGCTTCCCTGCTTCCCGGGCGCGGACCTGCAGGCCCCTTTCCCTGGCCACAAGCTGTCCCTGGTGGAGCCGCCGGGCACTCTCTCCACCCCGCACAGCCAGGCCTTCCTGGCCTTCAGTGCCGTGGCCCCGGGGGGAGGTGGCCTTGCGCCTGGCGAGGACCCCGGCACCCTGCTGCCTAGTGCCCACGCTGCACCCCCGGCCCCCGGCGGCACCCTGACTGCACCGGCGACCGCCAACAGCAGCTTCCTGCCCCACACCTTCCTTGCTGTGACGCCTGGACACAGCGGCCGCCTCAGCCCTGGCCTGCAGGGCCAGGGAGCCACCCTGCCCGGGCAGCCACCCCTGCCGGAGAAGAAGCGGGCCTCGGAGGGGGACCGGTCCCTGGGCTCCGTGTCCCCCTCGTCCAGCGGCTTCTCCAGCCCTCACAGTGGCAGCACCATCAGCATCCCCTTCCCCAGCGTCCTGCCTGACTTCTCCCGGCCTGCAGAGACAGCCTCGCCTCTGCCAGGTGGGTGCCCCGCCTCCTGTGCCCCTGCCGGGTGGGCGTCCTGCCGCCGAGCACTGGGGTGGGCGGCCCGGCCTTTGGCCTCCCTGTGCGCTGCTGGACATGCTGTCCACACTGCCTGCCCAGAGTGGGTCCGGCCGGGTTCCCATTACCGCCTCTGGCCGAGTCCAGTTTAGCTCCGCCCGGCTTCACTTTACCCCCAGAGTTTGCCGAGGGCGGCCCCATCTCCCTTCTGCTTCTAGGACCTCCCTCCTTGAAGGTTACTCCTCTAATGAAGTGAGTTCACCCAGAGTTTAATTATGAAATGTTTCAAGTATATAAGAAAGAGTAAGATGCCGATTCCACAGCACTGACCTTGCTGTTTGTTTCCTACTTTTTGATTTATATATGTTTGTTTTTGAGACCTGGCCTCCCTATGAAGTTCAAACTGGCCTTGAACTCATTGTGTAGATCCTCCTGCCTCAGCCTCCTGAGTGCTGGGATTACAGGAATGTGCTGCCGTGTCCGACTTTTATGTGTTTTAAATGAGCCCCATAGAGTCCTATTGGAGACTGTCTCATTTCGTGGGATGGGATACAAGCTTTCTTCTCCCACTCGGTCGTTGTAGATGTGGTACTCGTGTCCTGTAACCCGGCCTCGACCCCTCGTCCCCAGGCATGGGATCTTGAGGTTCAGGGATTTTGCACCAAGAGGCTGCAATAAAAATGTCCTTGGCATTACTGCTTGTCTGTTCTACTTTGTAGATAGTCCAAGCGACAAACTTGTGATCGTCAAATTTGTTCAGGACACTTCCAAGTTCTGGTACAAGCCGGATATTTCAAGAGACCAAGGTATGTGGGAGGGTGAGGCGTCTGGGACATCTGCTGCCTTCTGGGCTCGGGGTCCCGGCGGCAGGGTGTCCATGGCGGCGGTCACAGGCCATGGCTGGGCCGAGGGCTGAGTCAGGCCACAGTTTACTCCACACCTCCTGTGGAGACACCAGGACCGTTAGTTCTGGTAGGAAAATATCAGCCCTAGCGGGACAGATGGCGAGGACTTTCCCAGGTGTGGGGCAGCCCCACCAGCCACCTGTGATGCCGCCCACGGAGCCACTGAGGACGACAGTCGAGTGGGACAGCCATGTCGCTGCCCGTTCTGTGGCCGCGTCCCCTCTACCCGGGACACCGGGGTGGCCTGAGCTGTGACGGTGGGCGCTGAGCGTTTACTGGGCTCCCGTGTGGGTGGCAGCGGGCCTCCTGCACAAGCAGAGCGTGCACCTTGCTCGGTTCTGCTGCCAGGCTGTTCTTAAGAATTTTAGATCATTCGTTTTTGCTATTTCCCTTTGCTGTTCTTTTTAAAAAAATTGCTACATAACAGATGTGCGTATTTATGGGTGCAACGTGATGTCATGCGTGTGTGCGGGTGTCACGATCCAATTGGGTTTTTCTGTTTTACTAAACATCGTGAAATCACTGATATATTTGAGCAGCTGTTGTGCACCACTTCTCCCTGTCTCCATCTGTGTCTCTGTCTCTGTCTCTGTCTGTCTGTCTGTCTCTCTGTCTTTCTCCCTGGCAGTACTAAAGATTGAACCCAGTGCCTTTGAACCTGAGCTACATCCCTGGCCCTTTTTGTATATTTACTGATTTGGAACCAAGAATTGAACTGTGGACCTTGTGCTTGCCAGGCAGGCACTGTTTTTACTTTTTACTTTGAGCCTGGATCTCACTAAGGGCCCATGCTGAGCTTGCCACCCTCCTGCCTCAGCCTCCCAGAGGATTCCAGGTGTGCCCTTTTACTAGTGCGTGGGTGGATGACCCCTTCCGTTGGTGGCCCCTCAGGTGCCGTGTGTCTGTCCCTGTGGTGGGACTCGCAGAGCTCCCTAGCCATGGAGGCTGCTGTCCCCTGCCTTGGGTCTCATTCTGGCAGTGGTGACCTGGTGGCCCCGTGGTGTCCCTGGGAGGGGCTTGGTGTGGGAGGAACAGGGAACCGGGTCAGGCTCCTTGGGAAAGGAAAGAACCCGGGGCTGCTGGGTGGAGAGCGGGTGTTGGGTAGAGTAAAGCAGTGAGAGACCACGTGCGTCCATGGTCTCAGAAGCCGGCGTGGCCCCTCTGTGCGGGTCGTGCGACCCTCCGGAGAGAACCAGCCCTCTGTCCTTGCCTCCTGTCCCAGGAGCACCCGGAGATGAATAGCGGGGTAGCCGAGCAGTGCCACCGCCTGCTTCCTCATTGAAATTCTGCCGTTCCGTTATGTACAGAACAGAAATTGCAAGAATGCGTGTTCCTTTCATGAACTCAATGACGCCATTGTCATTTTAAGCAGGAGAGTGGGGGAGGGAAAAAATGAAAATCCCATGGCCTGGAAGGGCTTGTGTGTCTGTGAATCGGGCTTTGTGGGAAGCTGTTCCCTGGGTCTGCAGGCACCAGGGGCCAAGGCCCGGGGTCCCAGTGCCACCAGCCAGCGTGAGGAGATGCCTCGCCCACTTTCGGGGCCCCTGAGGAGACAGCGGGGAGCAGTGCTGTGCTGGCCCTGGGAGCAGGATCCCCAGCGCTGGGGCGGTACTCTGCGTCAGTCAGCTTTCATTGCGGTCCTCGTAAAGTGCTGGGGCAATTTACTTGTAAAGAAGAATGGTTTAGTTTGACTTGTGGCTCTGGAGGTTGTTCAAGTCTGAAACAAGGTTGCCCCGGGCTTTGGGCCCCCGGTAGGGATGTGCAGCATGCTGGCAGCGTGTGAGGGATGCTGGGACCCCAGTGACCCGCAGACCTCCCACAGCCCCGTCTGCAAGGTCGCCTCCCCTCCCGTGTCCTCAGCTCACGTCCCTTGCGGACGGTCAGCGTCACTGTGGAATGCAGTGTCACTGACCTCGTGTCCCGCTTCCTTTTGCAAATGGGCCCAGGGTAAGAGGGCACGCCCCGCCTCTGCACCCCAGCACCTGCGATGGGGTGGCCTGCGAAGAACAGAGGCTCACTTTGCCCCGAGATCCTGGAGGGCCCGAGAGCACGCGACAGGATGAGCTCCTTGCTGCTTCCAGGCCTGTGGGAAGCAGAAGAGGAGCACGGGAAGGGGACCTTGCTTTAGACGCCCCCCTGCTAAGTGCCTGACCCCACCTTGGACGTCAGCATGAGCTCGGGACGAGCTGTCTTTAAATCATGGCGAGGTCGTGAGTAACAGTAACTCACGGCTTCCTCCTCCCCTCCCTGCAGCCATCACCATGCTGAAGGACAAGGAGCCTGGGGCCTTCATCGTGCGGGACAGTCACTCCTTCCGGGGCGCCTACGGCCTGGCCATGAAGGTTGCCACCCCACCTCCTTCCGTCCTGCAGCTGAACCGGAAAGGTGAGGGCCCTGGAGTCTGTCTGTTCAGCTTGCCCTGTGTGTTTATGTTGGTGCAGAGAAGATGGTAGGTGACTTATACCAATCCTCACGGGCTTTCTTCTTAGTGAGTGTTTCTTATCTCAGGAATATTTTCCGAAGTATTCATCTTGTTCAAGGAAGAACATCTATTATTGATGAACTTTACTTTCTGGAATTTGAATAGTGTGTTGGCCAGCTTTCCTATTGCTGAGACATAATACCTGACACCTGTCCCTTAAAGGCAGAGAGGTTAATGCTGCTCACGGTTTCAGGAGATTCAGTGCATGGTCAGCCGGCTCCAAGGCAGGAACATCGGGGAGGAAGGGCCTGACCTGGAAGAGGACAGTGGAGTAGTACCAGAGAGGAAGGGGCCGGGGGCGATGCACACTCCGGAGTCACCCCCTCTGCGACACCCCCACATGCCCCAGGACTTGCTCTACCTGTTCTCGGGGCAGAGCCCAAACGCAGTCAGGTTGGCAGAATTAAACTTAACGTTCATGGACGGACAGTCATTCTGCTGTAGAAGTCGGAAAGGCGGAACAGAAGGTCACTGGGACGCTTGCTTGTGTTCAGCCCTGCTCATCTCGCTCCCCACTCTTCTCCCTTCGGGAGCCGTGTACAGTACACACCTGTGTATCTGTGCACTGATTGTGTGCTCGAGTGCAGACACGTGTGCGCTCTCCCTTTTCCTTACATCAGAAGTGGCGTATTACACACACTACTTTTTTTTTTTTTTGCGGTACTGGAGAGTGATGCCAAAGAGGGGAGAAAATCAGCTTATGGAGAGAGAAGGTTTGTTTTGCTGCATGGTTTCCCAGGGGTCAGTCTGTGGTCCTTGGCTGCATTGCTTTGGGCCCCGCGGTAAGTTCCACAGTGTGGTAGGGACGAGTGGTGGAGCACAGAGCTCACCTGTGCCCCAGGACAAGAACATTGGTGAGTGGGCAGAGACAGAGGGTCACACGGCGGGGCTGGCACGGGGGCAGCAGCTCCAGGTTCTGCTTGGCCCCTCGGTCTCCACCGCGTGCGTTAGAGCCAGGACAGCAGAACCCTTGTGCATGCATCGCTTTGTTTGGAAGTACGGATGGTGGCAGGGAGCACTCGCCTTCTCCCGCAAGCATCCTGCCTGTGGGGATGCTGGGCTCTGTCTGGAGATGTGGGAGACAAAGCAGGGGTATGAGAGCAGCCGATGCCGGGAAGTCGCATGCTGGCGGCGTCCTCGGGTGAAATTACGTCTGGCTGCTCTGTCTTCACCCAACCTCTGGATTTCACATCCGGGTTTCACGGTCCAAGGAAGACTCTTGAGAGATTTGCCAACGTACTGAAGATCACAGCGAGCAAATCGCCGAACCAGCGCCGGGCCACCCTGAGAGGGGGCAGCTGCCATGTGGGCCCCTGTTCTCCGGAAGGCCTGTCCGGGAGGGCCTCCCCCGGGCCCCTTCCCGCAGTGGCACCTGAGCTCTCGGCAGGTGTCCCCGTGGGTCTGGAAGCCACACTCCTCCCGTGGCCGAGTGGCCATGTGCTCCCCCTGCTCCTTGACTCAGCCTCTTGTGGGCTCTGGTGTTTGCTGTGCTGCAAGCTCTCCTGTCCCTGCAGCCGGCCGATGCTACTGTTACTGACTTTTGTCTGTGAACCACTGCAGACCGAGTATTCCTTATTCCCGATGCTTGGGACCTCGAGTGTTTCAGATTCGGGATTTTTTTTTTAAGATTTGGAGTACTTGTAGGTAAAGAATGAGATTTCTTGGGGCTGGGACCCAAGTCTAAACACACAACTTATTTATGTTTCTTTCTTTTTTTTTTTTTTGTCTTTTTGAGACGGGTCTCGCTATGCAGTTCAGGCTGGCCTTGAGCTCACTCTGTAGCTCAGGCTGGCCTCAAACTTGTAACAATCCTCCTGCCTCAGCCTCCCGAGTGCTGAGATTACAGGCGTGTGCCACCGAGCCTGGCTATTGATGTTTCATATTCACTTTGTACACATGACCCAAAAGCCATTTTATGCCTTTTGTTTGCTTTTGAAGACAGGGTCTCCCCAGGTAGTCCAGGCTGACCTTGAACTCCTGATGATCCTCCTGCCTCAGCCTCCCGTGTGCTGGGATTGTAGGCCTGGTATATGCTCTCATTTTTAAAAAATTATATTTGTTCTTTTTGTTACTCCTTACCACACCAGGGGATTTGTCTAATGAACTCGTCCGGCACTTTCTGATCGAGTGCACCCCAAAGGGAGTCCGGTTGAAAGGCTGCTCCAACGAGCCGTACTTCGGTGAGTCGGTACTAGTTTCCCTCGAGGTCCTGCACCCTGGGCGCCCGCTTTCCCTGTGCAGGGCTCCTGGGATTGGAGACCTTGCTGTCTTGGGGATCGGCTCACATTTCACTCCCCAGGTCTGAGATTCCTCTGCTCTGAGCTCTTGGCTTTGGGATAAAGTAGATGTGTGATTCTTCTCCAAAGCTGGCTTCAAGCTGAGCACCTGGAAGGCGCAGTGCCGGGCCTGGGAATCACAAATGCCCCGGTTGTCAGGGGGCGGAGTCTGCCGACGTCGCACCCCGGTGTGACCCCACCCCACCCGCACGGGGCTGGCGGCTTGCTGGGGGCTGCAGGACCACGCAGGGGGACATTGCGCTGTCTGGGGCAGTGTGAAGGGCGGCGTACGTGGTGAAAGCTGGGGGCGCCTTGATCCCAGCCCCTCATTACAGAATTGCTCAGTTTGTTCTTCGTATTCGGTGGTGACGATGGTGACGTGTGTGTGCTAGTAGCCCCCTGTGGTTTCCACCACTTACTCCTTAGCTGTCTTTTCTCCTTTTCGCTTTTGCTTTACTGGGGATTGAGCCCAGGGCCTCAGTCCCAAGCTCCACCCCCAACCCTTTTAATTTTGAAACAAGGTCTTACTAAGTCACTAAGTTGTCTGTGCTGAGCTGAAACTTGTGATCCTCCTGCCTCAGCCTCCCAGAATGCTGAGATGACAGGTGTGTGCCCCCATACCTAGCCTGGTTAGCTGCCTCCAGGAACCTGTCACATCTTTGAGGTTCTGTGCCCACATCTCGGACCATGCGGGCGGCTGCAGGTGGAGGACTCGGCCCTGGCAGCAGCTCCTTTCAGCAGGGGCAGCAGGGCACAGCTGTTGGTGCTCACGGCTTCTGTCCCCTCCACAGGGAGCCTGACGGCCCTGGTGTGCCAGCACTCCATCACGCCCCTGGCCCTGCCCTGCAAGCTGCTCATTCCGGAGAGAGGTACGGGGGGAGGGGGTGCTGGGCCGCGTGCGGGGCTCCCGAGTGAAGTGATCTGGGCAGAAACCCGGGGAGGTCGAAGAGCCCGGAGGGGGCCTCGCTGCGAAGATCTGCAGCTTCAAAATGTGCAGTGTTCAAGGCCGTGCCCTTTCGTTTTTACAGTTCCACAAAATGGGCAGAATGTGGGCGCTGCTGACTGGGGGTGACGGCGGTGCCGTTTCCACACTGTTAGGTGCCTTGGGGAGCGGTCGTAATGAACATAGGTTGGCAGGGTAACGCCTGCCCGGTATCAGAACGAGCTGACCCCAAGTCCCCGCTTTCTTGTGCAGACCCACACATAAAGACGGTCTGCCTGCAAGGATGGTCTCATAAAACGCAGGCAGCTGTGATGTACCTTTTCAACTTTAATTGTTCGTACGAATGAATTCAGAGATCAGAAAAGTATTCGCTGGCCCACGGCATCCCCAGCTGTGGATGTGACCTAGTTTTGGCGGGCTGGGTCACTGTCCTCCGAAGAGATTCTCAACTCCTCGAGGCGGCCGCATGTCACCGTCTGGGAATTCTGTCACCAAGCCGCCTGACTTTGTCAGGAGCGTGTTCACCCGTGCCTTCTCCCTCCGTCCTGCAGATCCCCTGGAGGAAGCAGCAGGAAGCCCGCCCCCGACGTCTGCCAACTCCGCAGCCGAGCTGTTGAAGCAGGGCGCAGGTCGGTCTCTCGTTCCCTGGACGTGGGACAGGAAGGAGCCGGGTCTCCTCACTTCCTCCCACTTCCCTCTCTTCTCTGGGCTGGGAAGGAAGGTGCCTTTTATAGATGCTTGCACAGACTAGGGTGGGACACAGCTGGTAGGTTGGGTGCAGCTGCCGGTGCCAGGACCGGGACAGTCCCCCCGTCCCAGGCTGGGAATACGGGCCTGAGTTGAACAAGACCGACGTCGGTGGCGTAAATGTCAAGTCCTGCGCTGAGTTTGGGGGAAATGCAGTGAGACAGGATGTGGGCGACCCGCCTCGCCAGCTGCAGCCCTGGTGACTCAGCCATCGCTTGATGTGAGTCAGCGCTCGGACCCACGGTGCCCCCCGAGCCAGCGAGCCAAAGACCAGGCCGTGGTGTGCAGCACTTTAGTAATGGGCTTTGCTCTTTAGAGCTGGGACAGGTTCGCAGCAAGACTGAGGGGGAGGTAGGGAGATGCTGCCCGGCCCACCAGCGAGGGCGGCTGTACATTCAGGAGCCGGGACACAGGGCGACCTGGGGGCCATAGTGTGGGTTAGCGTTCGGGCGCGGCCTTCTGCCTTCTGTGGGTCTGGGGAATTGGGTGTGGCGTGTGCCCGCCGTCACAGCCTCACGAAGAGGACTTTCACGGCAGGCCCCCCATGCCCGCCCTCGCTGCACCCAGGCCCTGGCAGTGACTGTGGGCTTTCCACTGTGCCGCAGTTTTGTCCTGTCCAGGTCTTACAGCCAGAGGCACGTCATGTGCCACATTTTCTGGTCGCTTCTTCCACTTAGTAATACGCATTTAAATTTCCTCCGTGCCTGCGCCTGGTTGGACGGCCGCTTCTCAGCCCAGGGTCACGTTCCGTGGTCTGAGGGCGCATGTCTTACCTACCCATTCACCTACGGAAGGACTGCAGGCTTCTGCCAAACCCTGCCAGTGGGAGCAAAGCTTCCGTACATACCCACTCGCAGGCTTTTGTGCAGAGGGAAGCTTGCAGGTCCTTCGGGGTAGACACCCGGGGTAGACACAGCGGGGCCTCATTACCCGACTGGGCGGCAGGAGAATGTTTACGTGTGTACGAAACCACAAAACCATCCTCCAGAGTGGCCGCCCCACGCCCTTGCGGCACCTGGCGCTGTCCCAGGGAGCACTGTGGTCGCTCTAGCCTCGGGCCCTGCCCTCTCTGTTGCTCTGGCTGGCGTCTCTCGGGTGACTCAGGACGCAGGGCACCTTCTCCTGTGCCCCCTGGCAGTCTGGGCGTCTTCTTGGTGAAGTATGATGGCTTTTGTCCTGTCTGTTTGTCGGGTTGTTTTCTTACTGTTGTTTTTAAACTGTCGTTGTGTATTTGGGATAACAGTCTTTTACTGGATTTGCGTTCTGCAAAACTTTTCTCCCCGTCTGTGGCTTATCTTTACAGTCTTTGACATGTCTCTGGAAGATCAGGAATATTTTTCAAATTATAGAAAAATTCAGCTTTTGGTGTCTTACCTAAAATGTTATCACCAAGCCCACGTTCATGTAGATTTTCTCTTTTCTTTAAAGACTTTAATAGTTTTACATTTTACATGTCAGCTTCTGATCCATTTTGAGTTAGTTTTTCTGACGGGTACTAGGCCTAGGCCTAGGTTCTTTTTTCTTTTTTTGCAAATGGATAGCCAGTGATTGTAGCACTGTTGGTTGAAGACTCAGTTTTTCCCCACTGCACTGTTTGTTCTTTGTCAAGAAGTAGTTGAGTGTATTAATGAACTAGTACAGTATTATTGTGTGGTGTATCTATTTATTTGCAGTGCTGGGGTTTGAACCTAGGGCCTTGCACATGCTAGGCATGTGCTCTACCACTAAGCTACATCCCTGGCCCTCCACCTTTTAAATTGCACTTGTAAGGTGGAAACCTGCCACCCTTGGCTGGAACCTGCACCTCTTGGATCAGAATTATTCTGGGGTAAAGACCTTGGGGATACTTGCAGGGTGCCTTCTGGGGCTCTGCCCTTGGCCACCTCCGTCCTGGGCACCCGTGGGTGGAGTCCACTTCTTCCCCAGCCCTCCTCCTTCACAGACCAGGGCCCCGTGAGCTGCCCCCCAACCCTGAGAGGCAGAGGCGGCTGGGCCTTGCCTTGGTCTCCAGGCGTCTGACTTTTGGGGACACCGCTCCAGCACGCTGACCCCCAGGGGCAGCCCCAAGGCCGCGTGCTGATGCCTTCGACTTTCAGCTGAGTGTCCTTCGCCACAGGGAGCCTCACATTTCTTCCTAAGCTTCCGTCCAGCGCTGATCTAGTAAATGTTGAATTACTATGTGGGTGAGTGACGTCATCACTCATAGTCAAGTACCGTGGTGGCCTTGATTTTCGAGATTAAAGCTCTTTCTCTTCTATCTGACGTGCCATTTTTAGGGACACTTTTCCATCTTTTTAAATAGCATGTGATAGGTATTAATTTTTTCCCCAATACTAGGGATTGAACCCAGGACCTTTGCAGTGAGGTACACCCCCAGCTTTTTTATTTATTAAGTTGCCAAGTTGCCCAGGCTGGGCTCAAACTTGCCATCCTCCTGCCTCAGCCTTCCAGAGGGCTGGGATTGCAGATACGTACCACCACACGCAGTTTAAATGTTTTATTTATTTTTTGTAAAGGGACTCTGCTTAGAGATCAGGCTTGGTTCAGAAGCATGCAGTCTTACGCAATCAGCTGAGCCGGTCACTTAGGCGGGAGATTATAACTACTCCAGCCTTCAGGACCTCTTGAATTCCACCCAGTGTCACAGCGCCCTGGAAAGGAACCGGGCGTCCCAGTGAGGGGCGTGCGCCCTCCTTGGTGCCCACCTTGTCCGGCCCGCGCGCTGCGGTTGTGTGGAGCAGGAGCAGAACAGCCGTTTTGTCAGGACGGCGGAACTTCCTGCGGGGTGGTGGCCGAAAGCGGGTTTCGGTTCCGAGGCCGAATGTCATTTCCGGCCCGATTCACTCAAATCTGGGGCGCCTGGACACTCCGACCTTTGAGCTCAGGGTGCGCACCTTCTCAGGGACGCGGAGCCTTGGGACCGAGAACAGCCGGGAGAGACGCTCATGCTGATGGAACGAACTTCTAATTCTGCCGCGCTTAATCCCTTTTAGCCGGACACAGAGGCCTTTGTGCTTTGGTTCCAGCCTCCAGGACAGTTTGCGCTTGTGCTGCAGCCGCCTTCTTAATTCCTCTCGGTGGGGCAGAAGAATGTAGGGCGATCCTGAGGGGGCGGGCTCTTCCCAGTCTCCGTTCCTTGTAATCCGCTGTGTCTTTAACCCCAGCCTGTGTAAGTACTGTTTCTTGATAACAGTCGCACGCGTCATTTAAATTTAAGAAGGGAAGTGCAGAAAAGTGAGTTTACTCCCCTGCTCAGCTGCTGCCGGCCGGGGAGAGGACTCAGGATGGCCCCACCAGAGCCAGGTGGGCAGACTTGAACCCCACAGCTGGTCTTCCATGCCCCCTTCTGCATGGTGAGACTCGCTGTGCTTTTCGCGGCCGAGCCGCAGGCTGCAGCCTTCAGCGGCTGCGCAGAGGCCTGCTGTGTTGCAGTCGGTACGGCCGGCCGGCCAGCCCGCCGCTCAGTGTCCATACAAGCCGCGCCTGGAGGCTTCATTTCTTGTTCCCGGACGCTGCTTGCTGCCCGCGGAGGAGCTCCCGGAAGTGGCACCCGGGTCGGCGCCCGTGCTGCTTCCCCGCGTGGCCACGCACGGCGACCTGTTCCCTGCGCCTGCGGGAGGCCCGGGCGTCCCCACGTGCAGGGGTGCAGCAGCCCGCGGGGCCCTGTGAGGCTGCCCCCGTCCCCGTCAGCCCTGTGGGGTCCCCCGCAGTCAGGTCACAGATCCGGGCTCTCTTGTAACTGGCTGATCCGCACGACAGCAGTCGCGGGGCGTGGGGACCGGCACCTCTTCCTGTGTCTCCCGTTTCCGCCCGCTTCCAGCTCCTGGGCAGAGCCTACTCGATTTTCATTATCCTCCTAATCACAGCCCAGGCGGAGGTATTCTGCTTGGCCAATTACCTGCTAACCGTTTTGAGCTCTTGTATAATTGTCCTGATTACCGTTTGCCGGGGCCTGGGGTCGCATTGAGACGCACTAACCCTTCGGCGGTCTTTGAACACTCACTCCCAGTCTCCAGCTGTCATCTGCACGCAGTGACCCTGCCTATGGTTTGCTACTTCTCCACGCGGGTCTGGCGACTGCCCTTGGGGTCTTCTCAGAAGGGGACCTCTTGGTTCCTTCCAGCTCTTTCCAGACTGTTTGTTCTGTTTTGTATGGCTTTGTAAGACAGGGTCTTGTGTAGTTCAGGCTGGCCTCAAATGCAGGGTGAGCCTCCTGCCTCAGCCTCCAAAGTGCTGGGATGACAGGTGTGTGCCACTACCCCTGGCTCTATTTCTTTCTTTTTTTTTTTTTGTTACCGGAAATCAAACTCAGGACCTTGCGTTTGCCAGGCAGGCACTTGTGCTGCTGAGCTATATCCCTGGCCCCCAGCTCTATTGCAATGCTTAAATATCAAGCTATTTTTCACAAGAGTAAAGTAAAATCAACCGAGGTTTCCGGAAGGAAGCCTGTGTATCAGGTGACACACCTGTGTCCACTGTGAGCTCGGGGAGTCTTGGTTCTTTCGTTCGCTGTGTGCTGTGTTTGGTGGTGGTGGGGATGGAGCCGGCTGGGGCGCGGCAGGCGCGTGCCGGAGCGAGCTGCACCCACCCAGCCGGGCTGTCTGGAAGCCTAGTCATCAGGGTTCCATGTGCTCCGCCCTCCTGACAGCCCTTCCGGCTGTGTCTTCCCCTCAGCTGGGGGCTTCCTCAGGACCCCCTCTGACTGTCCCTGCCCCAGGTCAAGGGATTTTCTGGCTCCTGCAGCCCCCAGCCCACCTTCCTCATCCTGGTTACTCTGCGCACCCACTGAATAGCAGGGTGCACTCTGGAGGCTGAGGCAGGAGGATCACTGCCAGTTTGAAGCCAGCCCAGGGTACACAGCGAGACCCCTTCTCAGAGCAACAGCAGAACAAGGGCTGCGCAGGCCGAGCGCGTGTCCTGGCCGGCGTGGCTGACGCGCATCCTTGTCCTAGCCTGCAACGTGTGGTACCTGAACTCCGTGGAGATGGAGTCCCTGACCGGCCACCAGGCGGTGCAGAAGGCGCTGAGCATGACGCTGGTGCAGGAGCCGCCGCCCGAGTCCACCGTGGTCCACTTCAAGGTGTCGGCCCAGGGCATCACCCTGACGGACAATCAGAGGAAGTGAGTGCGTCTGGGGCCCCGGGGTCGTGGAGCCCAGAGGGGCGGCGCCTGCTGGAGAGACGTCCTTGAGGTCACATAACCCTGCCTGGGCTGCTCACCCGGTCCCTGGGCCCCGCTTAAACGTCTGTCCCGAAAGCCTGCTTTTACAATCGACATTATTGTTTTTAAAAAATCAAGTCGGGTGCTGTGGTGCACGTGTCATCCTCGTGCTCTGGAAGGCTGAGGCAGGAGGGTCACATGGAGATTGGAGCCCAGCCCAGGCAACTCAGTGACTCCGTGAGCACCACTGCCGAGGCCTGGTTCTCAGTTTCCGATACTGATACCGCAGATACCGATACCGCAGCTCGGTGTTAGCGAGGGACCAGCCCGCGGCTCCGCCCCAGCCCGCGGCTCCGCCCCAGCCCGCGGCTCCGCCCCAGCCCGCGGCTCCGCCCCAGCCCGCCCCCCACGCTGCAGCCCTGCCCAGCCTGGCCCTGAAGTAGGGGCTTTCTTCCCTGTCTCACCCTGCTGAGGCTGCAGGCAGAGAATGAAGAGAGCTGGGGTGGGTTTCACATTCAGCGTTTTAGGGCTGAGGCTGGGCTCAGGGGCAGGCCTTTTGGGGCGCTGAGGGCGGCTAGGAGTTCTCCGCTATTCCCAGGAGGAATTCTGAAAAGGCCTTGACGCCCTAACGCCTGACTCATTTTTCAGCCTTGGTACCAAAGTACCAGCCTAGATCCGGGCCACTCAGGTTCCAGAGGCAATGGGTGCCCCCTGTGCGCGGGGCTGCGCTGTCAACACTGCCTCTGGGATCCAGCGGCGTCCTGTACCGGGCGGGCAGGTGACGCCTTTCTCTCCGGCGGGCGAGGGTACCTCCGCACCATGGCACTGCTGCAAGGTGCTTCCCGGCGTATGTCTGCCCCCTCTGGTGCCCGAGGGAGCCTTTTATTTTTCTTTTTGTCCTGGGGGTTGAACCCAGGGCTTTGTGCTGAGCTGCATCCCCAGCCCTTTTTATTTTTTTTTTGAGACAGAATCTTTTTGAGCCCAGGCAGGGCTCAAACTTGCAATCCTCCTGCCTCAGCCTCCCAGAGTGCTGGGATGACAGCTGTGAGCCCCTGCGCCCAGCTCCTTGAGGCACGTCAGCTTCCAGGGCGGATGCTTCATCTGTTCCGTCCACTTTGTATCTTGTTATCGAGCACGCTTTACCCCTCTTTCCCGAGGTCTGGGACTCCCGCCCTCGGCCCCTATAACAACCCCCACGTCCGTCCGTCCTTCCGCAGGCTCTTCTTCCGGCGGCATTACCCCGTGAGCAGCGTCATTTTCTGTGCCTTGGACCCTCAGGACAGGAAGTAAGAATTATGCATTTTTGTCGGGCATTTGCATTGGATTCTCAATTACAAAATTAACTCCTTTCTTTCTCTTTAATTCTCGAGGTGGATCAAAGACGGCCCCTCCTGCAGGTAAGTCACCAGCGCCCTTTGCACCGTTTACAGTCCTAATCCAAAGAGGATTTCCTACAAGAAATAATTTGGTTTGTCTGTGGGCTTCTTTGCTTGGTTTTGCTTTGCCTTTTGGGCTTTTTGAGACAAGGTCCCATTATGCAGTTCAGGCTGGCCTTGAACTCACTTTATAGCCCATGCATGCCTCAAGCCCGATCCTCCTGCCTCAGCCTCCCGAGGGCTGGGATTACAGGTGTGCACCACCACACTGGCCCTTGCTTGTTCTTAAGAAGCATTCTGCCCTCTCAGCCTCCCACTTGAAGGCCCAAAGCCGTGGTATGAGCTCATGCCCCTCCCCGTCCTCGCCTGCATTACTGGGGAGCTGGGCAGGCTTGCGGGTCTCCAGACCCCGAGGCCCCGGGCTCCTGCGGGCGCTGCCCTCTGACTGCCCAGCTCGGCTTTCATCCGCTCACTCGGGATCCGCGTCTCCATCGGGTGATCCCGCGACGCTGGCTGGTGCCGCCTTGGTGTGGAAACGGGGAGGCGGGAACAAAGGGGCCTTCATTTTCGAAGAAAGAGAAGAAAGACCTTGGCCAGAGCCCGAGATGTGGGGAGTGCTTGGCAGGGTGCTGAGTTTGGACTCGGAAAAGCCTATGAAGGCCTCGGCTTCAGTGCTTAGAACAATGAGGTGTGCTGTGCCGTTCACTTGGGGGCACTGGGGACTGAACCGGGGCCTTCGCACCAGCCTCCATCCCAGCCCTCCACCCGCTACCTTTTTTTAAATTTATAGACAGAGTTTCACTTAATTGCCCAGGCTGCCTGGCGTGCTGGTGCACATTGTAATCCCAGCACTCGGGAGGCTGAGGCAGAAGGACCGCCAGGAGCTCAGGGCCAGTCTGGGCTACAAAGTGAGACCTGTCTTGAAAAAACAAGTTGCCCAGGCTGCGCTTAGACTTGGGATCCTCCTACCTCAGCCTCCCAGACGGTGATGGAAGTGCAGGCATGCATCACCATGGCTGGATGCACTGCCCTCTTTTCAGCCGCTTCCTGCTCTGGACACAGTTGGGCACCCAGGCTTGGCCAAGGGAGTCGTGGGCTGTGCCCCTCAACCCCGGGTGCGGGGGGCTGTCCGTGGGAGCCTGGCCAAGGCTAGGAAGCGTGGGACGTCGTCTGGAGTCTGCCTGGATGGTGCCGAGAGCCCCAGCCTCTGGGAGACTCGGCCGGCCGGCCCCCAACCCCAGCCTCTGCAGTGTGGGTGTGCCCCTGTCCCCTGGCTTCGAGGCCCGGCTCCGACCTCTGCTCCCCCTCCCCTGCAGAGTCTTCGGGTTTGTGGCCCGGAAGCAGGGCAGCGCCACGGACAACGTGTGCCACCTGTTCGCGGAGCACGACCCCGAGCAGCCCGCCAGCGCCATCGTCAACTTCGTGTCCAAGGTCATGATCGGCTCGCCCCGGAAGATCTGAGCGCCGCGGGCCCCGGATGGAGGCAGCCGCGGGGAGGCGGTCGCGTGCCGGGGACATAGCGCCTCTGCAGCCAGGCGTGCAAGGGCCGCACACGGGGTGTGCCCACCCGGGCCCCGGGGGAAGGGTGCAAGGAGGGCAGAAGCATCTGCGGGCACTGAGGAAGCCCCTGGCGCGCCCCGTCTGGGCGGCCAATCCCGGCCAGCGACACCCGGCCCAGCCACCCCCTCGCTTGGGTCTTCACCCAGCAACGCTGACACAGAAAGGACCACGTGATTGATGCAGATTTGTGCAGGTCAGGCCTTCTGGAACACAGGACAGAACCGAGTGGACGGTGTGGGGTGTGGGCTGCGAGGACCAGGGCGGTGGCAGCCCTCTTGCATCCCGGAGGAGCATGAGATGGCAGAGGTGCCCCGCATGGGCCAGGCTTCAGGCTCCCGCTCACATTCCCAAAGGAAGCCGGGCTTGGGAGCACCCGGGAGGACCCTGAGAAGATGGAAGCAAAAATGCCATTTCTATGTAATTTATATTTTACACGCACCAAATTATTTATAACACCCTGCCACGCTGTGCTGCGCCAGCGTTCGGTGCTGCGGCGCCGGGTGTGGTCTGCGATGCCCTGCAGGCTCCGGGAGGGGCCCGCCCGCTGCGGGCCGTCCCGTGAGGCCGAGGGCAGCTCCATGCCGCGGCTGCTCAGGCCTGGGAAGGGCAGGAGCGGCCCGAGGCCCGGCTTCGGGGAAGCGGATGCCGGCACCTCCGGCCGGAGCCCGGCATCCCCG